GCAATCACCCTGATGTGTCTGAAAGCGTCACGAAGACTTCCACTCACTGCTCCATGTTTGTCTCTGAGAATGCACAAAAACATGCCCACAGAGGTAATTGAACCTAGCCATCTTCATACAGCGTATTTTTTAATCCTATGTTCAATTGCGCAATCTAAGGATGTATATATACTCTTTACTTAACACAAATGGGAGGACTAACATATCATCTGCATTCAGTTTCAAAATCAAAAACAACCGTCGAGTCAGTCTTAAAGTTTTTCGAATCGGGTTCACGAGCTCTGAATGAATTACTTCTCAGACCACTTTCGTATTGTGACACTTGCATAGACTTCAAGTTTTAATTAAAGGGCTCTGCGGAGGAATTGATCGCTATTCATAACCAACTCCTGCATTTGTTTTGAATAGGTTCTTAAAGAGGCAGCTAAAACCGCACTTAGCGGAGGAGCTCATCCTGTGCTTCTTCACGATGACAGCCTTATCGAGGGCCTTCAGAAAGCCGGTACCCCGGATTTACCAGTGAGCCTGAAAAGCGCGCGAAACTATGCTTGCGACGGCTGCTACGAGCCTATTTTTCCAGGCGAGACTGACTTCTCATTGGCCTATATAGCTCTGCTGCAGGTACTGGAAATGGCAATCAATCATGGATCCACTTACGCCTTAGCTGGTCCTGCTTACCTGGAAGGAGCTCCCCAGTCACTGCCTACTGTACCTCCAGAGGAAATAAACAGTTTTGAGCAGGTGTGAATATTCACTCTCAAAAGTCAAAGTCAAAGTCATTTTCGTTTTGTTAAATGCTGAAAACATATATTGCCATGTGAAAGTACTATTCAAAAAGTTTTATTTGAAGGATCACATTGCCGGATTTCATACACAGATTCAAACGTTAGAACTATGTACTAAATAAAAAGTACCCCGCAAAAGCACTGCTGAGGAGGGTTCATGTGAACGTTCAAATTGCAGTATTTTGTCCACAGACTCAAAAGTTGGAGCCACCTCACAAGACTCGATCATCTACTCTGGGTGTAAAGGGTTGACCTTTTGTCTCTTGTAAAGTCATGCGACCCTTTCACCAAAAAAAAAAACTCAATCTACAGATCTCCCGCTCACAAATGTCAAATATCTTGCTTAAGCCCCGTGCAAACGGACGCATTATTGTTGGATGTTACATGTTGCGTCCGTTTACCCAACCTGTTGCATGTTGTTGCGCTTTGTTGGGAGTTGTTGCGCGAAGTTTGAAACCGGGCAAACGTGCAAACGGACGCAACAACTCCCAACATTTGCTGGGCCAACAAGTTGGGAGTTGTTGCGTCCGCTTCCAAGTAGCTTTGCATTTCTTTTCTCTTTACTTAGCTCAAGGAATTGTTTGCCCTTCACCTGCGCGTGCGCACAGAGTACAACATTTTCCTCCTGCTAATCAACTACGGCAACATTGTTGAGTTCTGCCCCAGCCCACTGCTCTCGTCTGTCATCCGTGGCTGCCTGGAAACAAAGCGCGACATTTACAATGGAGGTGCTAATTACGCCTTAATCGGAGTGCAGTTCATCACTTTCGCCAACACAGTAGACGCACTCTACGCAATTAAAAGGCTGTGTTTTGATCATGACTCAGCAGTCATTTCTTTGTCCGAGATGGTTCGCTGTCTGAAGTGTGACTGGGGATTCAACATGCAAGAGCCATTCCACGACGACCTCGCTGGCAACACGCGTGGCCAGAGGCTATCTGACACCTACAAGGAAGTCCGAGAGAGAGCTCTGCTGTTGCCGAAATTTGGAACAGCCGAGGCAGCCGAAAATGCGGACATTCAGAATATCACCAGGTGAGCAGCCTGACAGTCAGGCAATATGTGTTTTACAATACGGTTTGGTGGTCTCTACGTTTAAATAGCCGTGGCTACGTTTGAACGTCCTTTGCGATATGTTATTGTGAGTGGATCCTTAGTGATACATATGAAGATATATATGCTGCAAACAAAATTCTCTGTGTCATTTGCGAGGCGGGGTAAGGATCAGGCAATGACAGTCCTTGGTGCTGTGGGGTTGCACATCACCGATCTTATTTTTCAAGCAATTAACTGATCTATCGAAGAAAATTACAAAGTTTCTTGATTGCTAGCACCACGCTATTCCAATAGTTTGCAAGTACGTTGTTATTTAATTTGTTAAGCCATTTGTCGTGAGGACTAAAAACGAAAAGAAAGACCACAAGCGAGAAAAATGTAAGAGTCCTCAAGCCTATGGTCAACCAACCAGCGACCGACAAGGCTAACTTCAGTGCAACACCCCGAGTTTTCGAGAGGGTTTGCGAGATACGTATTTCTATTTTAATATTACTTATAATAAGTCATCTCTACCTTCCCAGTTGGTTGGCTGATCAAGTTGCAAATGTGACCAAGAAGGTGGCCCGGGATGCACCAGATGGTCAACCGCTGAAGGACCTCATCAGCGGCTTGAAACAGAAATACTCAGTTCCTGGAGCACCATTTGACGTTCTGCTACCGACAGGATCCGGGACATTTGAAGGATACGTTGGGTGGGGAGCAGGATGCGGTGCATCTGCTGACGGACGGCGCTCGGGCTCACCTGTTGCATCCGACTTTGGTGCCGCTCCAACCCCATTGGACAAGCCTGCAATCGCCAAAAGCTCGGAATTATACAAGTAAGAAAGCATTCTATATCAGGGACCGGTTGTTTAAAAGTTGGTAGCGCTTTCCACCGGATAAATCGCTCTCTAGTGGACAACGATATCCACTTTTTAAACAACCAGCACCAGGATGTTTATTTGAGGCAAAAACTTTTAACTTTTTTATGAAAAGAGTTTGTTCTTGTTTAGATTTGGCTCTGACTTTAGTGTCTGAGAATGAGATCCCTACGTGCCATTATTCATATAAAGTTTATCAGCAGTACTTTAACGTGGAACTTTTTCGTATGCTCTTTAGTGGATTTATAGCTATTGGCTATTGAGATGATTCCATGTGACTATTGTAATCGAAGCTATACAGAATTACTTTCATGTGGTGAGGGGTGTAAAAATGCTGCTAATCTCGTGCTGTGAATTATTATCGGAAAAACGTTGTACATGATCCCAGCCAGATATGCGTTTTCTTTCTCTCTTTTTCCCAATCTAGGTCGATGAAATGCTGGGATTTGCCTTCTATCAACGTTGGTTTTGCTAATGGGGCCGAGATAGGTCTGAAGGTCGATGAGAAATTCAAGGAAGGCGATTTGGTCACCTTCTTGAAGAATTATGGTGACGGAAACGGCATCGGGGGAAATATCATAACAAGTAGGTTGCTTATAAAGTACACAATGGAAAATAACACTTCAAATAAAAGCAATGTTCTGAAATGACTTGGTTTGAAGCCTGACAAAAATTCTTCGCTATCCGTCATATCGTCACTTGTCTCCTTGGCTGATAAGGCATGAAACACTTTCTCTCGTGGTTAACTGGGAGTTGAAGCCAAGACGTTTTTGAGCGACGAACGTCCTCTGGAAGTGAGGCATTTTCCCTTTTAATATGCCTTGACCCTAACAAATTTCAAAAACGTCGTTGCTAAACTCCCTAATAATTATTTCATAATTAAACGTAAGGGTAAACCACTGTCATCTTTCTAATGTGTTACATTTTTACTGCAGTTACCTGTTCCGACCCCGAGACCTTCTCCAATGCTCAGAAAAATCCTGAGAAGTACGATCTGATCCGTGTGCGTACAGGAGGCTGGGGCGAGTTTTTCATCACCTTCTTCACTGCTCATCAGAAGCACATGGAAAGGAGGCTTTACTATCACGTGGCCTAAAGTTCCATTCGCAGATACCGGCTTTTTTAAATCTGGAATCAGGAATTTGCTTACTAGATAGGATAATGGTGAAGTGCAATTAAATGAAATCCAAATTTCAATAAATGCAGTAGTGAAAACTGACTGATCATACGTGTTATGTTTTGTCCCCAACCAAAAAACTACATTTCTGCTTTGAAAATTATAGAGATATCAAGACCTTGACAGTATACTTCAATTGATTCGCCCAAAGTTTTTCTACTTTTGAAAAAAAACTGCTAACGAGTCTAACGGTTATGAAACCTGTTAGACTCCTTTGTTATATGTTTTTGTTAGCTTTTTTGGGACCTGACCGTAAACAAAGTTGAATGGTATCCCTATCATTTTGAACTCACTGACCAATAGAAACATCACATAAATTTATTCAGTCACAATTTGTGAACAAAAAACAAAGGATTGTGCACGATCAAGGAGCTTCCAACATAACCTACAGCACCGTTGTTTTCAACTTTGATGTTTGCCAGTTTTCATAACCAATCTCTTCTACTGACCATGAATAGATAAAAACGCTTTAGAGATGCCACTTTGTTGTTCGGAAAATAAACAAACCTTTTTCGAAAAAATTGGTCGTCGAGCACTCCTGGTCACATGCATAGATTGCTAATACCATACCTTATCGTGGTTTCATTAAAGACTGAGCTAGAAGTGCAGTTGATTTAACCCACGATGAATTGCCTTTTCAAGTTGTCGCACGCGCGCGGTAACTTGTTTTTCCCGCTTCACTTACCTGTATTCTTAATGTGGTACTGATTTGAAATATTAACATCACTCAGCTGAGAATAATTGTAACTTCTGACACCCAGAGAGGTGAGTGCCGCGACTGCCTCTACCTCTGCTAATGTGCTTCGATCGGTTTATGACAGTAACATATTCTCACTACCAACAACACACATGAATCTACATTGAGATATGGAGAGGTGAAAATGGTCGCTGTTCACAGGGGTGGACAGTGGTACATTCACATGCTTTGAAGGCAGTGCACCGTGTCATGCCTGGAGGGGAGGGAGGGTGGGTCGCTGACCGCCCTCTGAGATGTTATTAGACAAATGCACACAACAAGAAGAATGGTGGTATTATATACAACGCTAGGAATCGTGGGATATCTATTGATATGAAAATATTCTTGCTTTATTTCCGGTACTGAAAATAGAATTCTAGGTCTCAAATGTAGTAAAATCGTGTGACGTCAACACGCGGCTCCCTGCTGATTCCTGAGCAGGTCAAAGCCTAACATGTGACAACTAAAAAGGCAGTTTATCCATCCTTGCAGCTTAAAATATTGTTTAATAAAATTTGTTAATCAGTGGAAAGCAAACAAAGAAGGCCCTTTAATAGCTTTTCTTTGACCAAAAAAAAGAAAGAAAAAGATTGTTTATTACTACCGCTAACTTAGCGAATTGGCACCTCTCAAGGTGCATGACTAATGAGCCTTTAATTTAAGTTTCCCGGGAAATGCAAAACTAATATAATTTTTAACGTTAAAGGAATGTCAGAAAACGTGCTACGATGTCATTCGTGAAAGAATAAATCGGATTGTTTCTTTCACAAGTTCCCCCGGCTTAGATCTTCAACTTAGACATTTTATCCTTCACTTGCGCGTTCTAAAATTTAATTGCTTTAAGTTGATATTGCTTGAAAAAGGTTTTATTTGTTCACAGGATGGATGATTGATGAATCGTCCACACGTCAGTCGTACGTATTGAACCTTGAATTTACTAAAAAGTAAAAGGTCAATTTTAACCAAATTACGTTTATTATAATCAGTCGTTTGTCCCCACACCCATCCTTTATATACTCTCCTATGACTTAGGTTCAGTCATTTTGTTGCAGATTCAGTGATGGGCATGAGAATAAGCTAGAATAGACTATTTTTACAAGCTGCATTCATAGTTTCACACGTCCAAATTAACGAATTCAAAGGAAACGTGACTGTCTGAAAAAGTGTTTGCCAACTAGACGTCCTATTCACCATTTACTGTCTGAACTTTAACATATTAAAATTAAAATGTGCTTTTAATTGGTTTTCTTTGTTTAACGTTTTACTGAAGTCGTCTGTAAGTTTGATTATACTGTCACTGGGCGGGGACAGCTCTATTTTGTTTCCGGGTGGTTCAAGTGAGACCTCTTAGCTGAGCTTCCAAAGACTACAGTCACAACAAAACCCCCGTACAATTACCAAATGGCGCAGCGAAAAAAAAAATGGTTGAATTTCAGCAGCCACTAAAATAACACTTTGATTTGCCTCGCATAAGAATACTGGAACCGTATTACCGAGAACTAAAATTTTCAGCGAAATATGTCCTTCCCGACCCTTAAAAACTTATTCAGGACCCCGTTTCAACATATCCAATGTATTTCCCTGAGACTAGACTTTGTCAATCTAAAGGTTGAAAGTGGTTTATTTTATGCAAAAGATCTTCAGTTGTTTGTGCGTCTTCAGGTGTTAACACCTACAGTTACAGGCTACAAAGAGGTAAGAAATTTCAAGCTGGGTGTGTCAAATGTTAGTGGTACTGACTAACATTCCATTTATAAAAATTCGGAGTCAAAAATCTGATCAGCAGAATCGAAGATGTAAGTTAACAGAATTGAAATCGCAAGAATGATTGTCAAAACGTATGGCTCCGTCGTTTTACGTTTAATGAGAACTAGATTGTGGGAGTCGCAAACAGAAGCGTATAATCCATGTACCTGTGAGAAAGGAGAATTGTTACTCTTAAAGTAAATCTGGTTATAGATATATAATTAAAAATAATTCTCATAATTTTAACTTCTCGTGTTCGTTATACTTCAGACTAAAATGTTTATCAGTTGCGTATTCCTCTGGTTAGAACCTGTTTTGCACATTTCCGCGGCTTTCAAAAGCTTTAGGTTTTACGTATTGACTCCAAATTGTTGTGGTTCCCTCCGAAGTTGATCTCATACCTTTTACACGGCTACCTTACTTATTTTGTGTCTGATCGCCCGGATTTTAAATGTACTTTTAACGACTAATTAATAATTGCAATTACTATTAACTTGCTACGTGGCGAAAGAAAACAAAAAAGAATTGCGCTGGTATATAAGACTGTTTGTCTTAAAAACGAGCAAGCCATGTTAATAAGCTTTCATTACAAAAGTAGCTACAGAGATAATACAAATCGATTAACATTGCGTGTATTTAATATTTTTTCCTTACTAGCAATAGTCACCATGTTTTCCAAATACAAGAAAACGGACAGAAAAGGAGGCGAAAGAAAGCAAAAGGGAAAGGCGCATATGTACACGTACAGACGGAGTGTCTTCTCCAAGCGAACTGCAGAAACAAAGCCATATGCTGCAGTGGGAGCGTAGTTTTTGGGGCCCAAGGCCGAGAATGCGAACATCTTCACGGAGCTTGCGACTAAAGCCTTCAACGCTCATTTGCAATTCCGCAAAAGGTAATTGAGATGTTTTTCTCTTTCATTACTGGCCACATAATCATTTAAATATTAAAGAAGGGAGAAACTTTTATTGTTTGAACTGTTTGAGTTCTAAACCCTCATTACCAGAATTGTTCTGCATGAACATGAATTTGCTTAAAAATAACTATTGGTAGAACGTAGTTTCTTTTTCCTTCAAAGCTTGTATGAAAATCAAACGAGATATACACGATGAGTATTGAAAGTTAAATCTCACTCGCAACTCACAACTCGGCTGAACTTCCTCTTTTTTTATAAATTATTTTCAATTCTTTGAGCTGTTTCTGATTCGCACTATGAGCAAGGACATTATTTTTGGTTGAAGATGAACTACTAACAGGAATTCACGCATTTGGAATTTATTTGCGCTTGACGATAGGAAATCCAATCGTAGCGTCCGAATGTCTCGTCGAAGTAGTCAACTCAAATTAAATCAATATTACTAACAAGAAAAAGTTACTATACAATATCAATTTTGGTTGAGGCTTTGACAGGCAAATTTTAACTTGCAATTTGTGTTCCATATGCGGCTAGTCTGCTTCGTTGCTTGGATGCGTGATCGGTGACACTTCCAAAATGTAAGTTACATATTTTAACAAATATATTTCTTTTAATAACCAGTCACCTGACCTATTTTTTTCGCGCAAAGTCGAGGTGTCGGCGCTAAGGTAAATTAAATAATCAAAACAACTGAACAAACAGCAAATGCAAATCAGTTTCGATTGATCATTGGATCATTGTTGGCTTAAAATAATTATTTTTCCCCTGTTATCTTATTGCAGTGTTGGCGCACAAAACGGCGACCACCAAATTCTCTTCCATGCTCGGGAAGAATTTGCATTCATCATGTAAACGATTGGATGAATTGAAAAAACGAAAAGAAAAGTTAACAATTACAGCTTAGCGAAGTCAGGAAAGGGGTGGGGGGTCGAGCGGAACCCCGGGGAGGTACTCCCTATAATGGGGGAGGGGTGGCTCCGCCCGAAAAGGGGTACCTTTTCGGGCGTCAGGTATACAAAAGAGTAGGGATGTCACTAGTTAAGGTATACTGAAAAGGGTGGGGGAAATCTGTCATTTCGGTCGGTAAAGAGACCCAGAAGAGCTAACAGATGCATTTTATGGCTATAAAACAGAGAAAACGTTCTGGTTTAGTGATTTATTCATGCTTAAGAGACAGTGCATTTACAGCAGCTAAAAGGAATGCAAAGTTCTAAACAAGGTGTGTGAAAGGGGTACCATTTGTCAATAGAAGGTATACAAGGATACCTTTTCGGTCAAAAATGGTATGTAAAAAGGGTGGCTCAGGGCGAAGCTTCCCCGTATAAAACTTTGTTGAGTACCCCACCCCCGGCGCGAAACAATACAAACAGGCAAACAGGCCTAAGGACACCAATACCTTCGGTTATTTTTTAACCCTTCGCCTACAACTGAGTTGAGCCTAATCTGGTTATGACAGTTAAAGTCAATGGTTGTTTCGCTAGCTGTCATCCACTACAAGATCCACTACGTCCAGTACCGTTCTCAAAGATGCATTACAATTCCTTCGAAACATAAAGCAAAAGTACAAAACATCACTACGGAAGCGCCTAAACAAAATAATACAACAAACGTCAGATCAATGTTCAGCGATAAGTACCCAGTAGCATGTGTACTGCAGCCGCGAATGTTCGATCCATTAAAACCTCTCAAATCCACTCTTGGAATTCACTCTCCACTCTTTTCCACGACGAATCCATTCTTATAAGTTACATCTTATGTCTTTGAATTAATCACAATTTCGCTTTACTGAAAGGTACGATTTATGAATAATAATTATCAAGGGGTTCAAACGAGTACGTGCATATGGAATGTCACGAACTTTCGCACGTATTAGCGAAACAATGATAACAGGCAGGTACAGGTGGTTAAGGGCGGTTAGGTGTGGATGGGTTAACAAAGGGGATGTATAAAGTAAGATCTAGAAAAGCAATTTCTACTTCTTCCACAGTTATTTCCCTTGCGATCCCCCTTACGTGACAGAAGAAGTGAAAGAAGCGAAGTCTTTCAAACAAGCCAGGCATAAAATGGAAGAGGAATTGGATAAGATACAACAGGATATGTACAAGTCAGTGCCTTTCTTCAGCACAAGATACAAGGTTGGTTGACTTGTGGATTGTGTATAGTTTGTTGTTTGACGTCCATTAAGTAAGCTTTTTATAGCGTGCATGACCCATGACTTTCTTCAGGTCCATGTTTTCTCACAGGAACCCTCAGGGTCTGGTAGACTCAGTGTGAATCCAGTTTGAAACTGCAGTTTATTCTGGCCAAGTTTTATTAAGCAAGAGTTTTCATTCATTTCCTTAACTTCTATAATAATCCATTTTTCATTCAGTACCCTTAATTCACATGGTGTACCCTCCCAGCTTCTATGCAGGCTTCCTTGCCATTATCATTTCAAAGATTTGTAAAATAGAATATAATGTCTACTCTCTTTACTACATATATTTTAAATTTATTGTGTTTTGCCAATTATAAACGTTCAGCTAATGGTTAATGGCAAAATAAATCAATGAAGGAATGAATGAATGAATGAATGAATGAATTATAATTCAAAAACTCATTAATGATTCATAAAGAAAAAACAAAATATATTAATGTTTAATGAGTGTCTTTATATCTGATAAGGACATAGCTAAATTTTACGTCCAAGTTTTTAGACCAAAATAACCCCAAATCTAAATATTAGTGCAAGAATGAGTTGATCTATATCAGAGATTTTGAAGCCGTTCAAAAACCTCACAGTCGTGTATTATCAGGTTTAAAAACTCGAGGCGAAAAACACTCCTGCTCGTTTTTCAAAAAGTACCTAAAGCGTATTTGACCACGATTTAATCTCATCTATTAATTCTTGTAAGTGTAAGGGTAAATTAACTTGCAGGGACACGTGATCTGGGACACCAATGTACCAGCTAATCTTGGATACATAGCTTCAATACTGTGGCATCAGAACAATTGTATTCAAGAGGCAAGCCCTGTAACAACGATGTACGAATTAGAGGCCGGTAGTGACTTGTGTGAGATGCTGGGGCTGGATCGAAATGAAAGTATGGGACATTTGGTAACTGGAGGATCAGTTGCAAACATTGAAGCCATGTGGGTAGCTAGGAATCTGAAATTTTACCCACTGGGGCTTCAAGAGGCTTTGATAAAAAAGGACAAGTTAAAAGGAGCACGTGAATACGAGGTAATGTTAGAGAACAAGAAACCCCGCACGCATTGTTTGCCATTTCTTAAGAAAACTGCCACCAAGATCATTAAACAGTGGTACCAAAAACCTTTAAATTTCATCATTTGCCTTTATTTCATTTCCTCTATGTAACACACTTTTAAATCCTTAACAGGCTTTTTAACGGACGTTTACTTTTTTTCTCTTGGTACAATTTTGTTAAGGTAGCTTTAACGCCAATCCAAACTGTTTGGTGGATGATTTCGTCATATTTTTAAAACTGAGCATGAAAACAAGTTTCGCTGGAAATGGTTGAAGCGAGAGCTAAAAAATATGAACTGTTGAAGATTTAGCCGTAAACATTCTAGTCTGTGTCAATTTTGTCATGTAGACGTACGAGAATAGTTCTACTTTTTGCTCCGTGTAAAGGAAATGCCATGGTAAAACCAGTCAGATGTAGTTTCTTGGCAGGAACGTCATGTTAACATTTGTCGTTCAAAGAGCCATGCCCAAGAAAATAAATCTATATTTTGAGTTAATAGGTTTATAAAGTCTGAACTGAATTTTAGATATACCGGCCTCAAAAAGGAAAAGACGTTCGTCTTGTGAAAGCTACGACATGGGAGCTACTTAATCTGGATACTGATACAATTCTGAAGATGCCATCCGATGTGAGCAAAAAAGCCGGTATTAGCGAAGACGAGCTTAGCATTCTTTTGACAAATCACCTCTACGAGTGTATTGGTATCACTGAATTTAACAACCGTCACGGGCTGACCCAGAATCCCTGTGTTGTGGCAGCAAGTACCTATCACGTGTCTTTCGACAAAGCCATGACCATTCTGGGGATCGGAAGAGAAAACCTTGTGCAAGTGCCAGTGGACGAGAATGCTCGAATAAAAACAGACGGTAAGTATTTAGTATGAGAAGAAGTTTGATTATAAGTAGGAAACGCAAACGCCCTATCAGACACGCTCACATTTTTTCACAACAAACTTCAAGCTCTAGTTGGCTGCGAATGGACGCTCCTGCCAGCACTCCGCGTTCCCGCCTTGTGAGGTCTCTACTTTTTCGTTTCCTGGCAAATGGGAAAAAAGTAGTCTCTCCGTCCATTATGTCAGTTTTAGTTTATTAGGTCTCTAGTCACTATAAGTTGGATTGATTTCCTGAAAACATGACCGCCTAGAGTAGCGTAGCTATCTGCAGGCATGTTAATATTGTATTTCAAACTTTGAAGACAAATAAGAAAATGTATGTAGGGGGTGTTGTTAGTCAGGGGGCTTAATGGGGCAGTGTTTGTGTAAACGTCAGGAGAATAATTATAGTAATCCACTCATTACAACTACTCTGGTTATTCTTCATTATCAGTATTACTTGATGTTCTGAATGATAAGTTGAAGAAGAAAATTCCTGTAATTAGCGTGATAAGCATCATGGGGACAACGGAAGAGAGTGCTGTTGATCCATTGAACAAGATCTTGGAAATACGCGATCAACTGAAAAAGCAGGTATGACAGTCTTTTTTCAACATATGCTCTAAAAACGTTATCAACTTTCTGTTGCTTTTATTTCGAGTAAATGAGCTTTTACAGTTGTAAAATACAGAGCACACCAGACATGTAGACAGTACTACTAAAGTTCACACCCTGTTCAAGGCATCTGGACCAGATAGACACCCTGTTCAAGACACTGACTAGTGAAATTGTGTACCCTGTTGTAGACTTCGCCTAGTCCTTGTACGGCATTTCCCAGGCCTCCTCCGTCAATTCACTTCGGTGACGTATCTGAGGCTCGGACCACGTCACCCGAAACGCATTGGCCGCACGGAATAATAACGCCAAAGGACTAGGCAATTCTAGACTCAAGTCCTTGAAAACCATACTCCAGTCGGCGGCGCATACCCGATTAGGCCAAGTAAGGGAGTGCTCTCCCCAAGGGGGGTATACACAACCCATGAATAGCAATCATGTCTTTTCTTGATCAGGGGCTCAATTTTAGCATCCACGCGGACGCTGCCTGGGGAGCTTACTTTGCGAGCATGCTACGGGACCCACCAGCAGGCCTATCCAAGAAGAACGTTGAAGACGAAGGGTTTGTTCCTGAACTTTCCCTCAATGAATTTGTCATCAAGCAGATGGAGGTATTTCTAGCACTTAACCCTTTAAACCCTAACATCAAAATTAAAGTTCTTATTTGATTCAAGTGCNTAGACTCAAGTCCTTGAAAACCATACTCCAGTCGGCGGCGCATACCCGATTAGGCCAAGTAAGGGAGTGCTCTCCCCAAGGGGGGTATACACAACCCATGAATAGCAATCATGTCTTTTCTTGATCAGGGGCTCAATTTTAGCATCCACGCGGACGCTGCCTGGGGAGCTTACTTTGCGAGCATGCTACGGGACCCACCAGCAGGCCTATCCAAGAAGAACGTTGAAGACGAAGGGTTTGTTCCTGAACTTTCCCTCAATGAATTTGTCATCAAGCAGATGGAGGTATTTCTAGCACTTAACCCTTTAAACCCTAACATCAAAATTCAGATTCTCATTTGATTCAAGTGCACTTGGTAATCTTAAGTCGCTCTGTAGAACACATGGCTTCACACTTGTTGACAAAGTATATTACTTGAAGTAAAAGCTGTCAATCTCTCCCTTCATTCAGGGAGAATCTTGGAACCGCTGAACGTACACATAGTGCAAATGGCTACCATTTCTTAATGGTCAAGTGTGTTGTCAAGTGTAGTGTAGACCATACTTGGCCGCGAACTTCGGCTTCTTTGAATTTCGAACGTTTCCATGGTCACCAGATAACGTTGAAGTAGGTACATTATTTTTACCCGTTCACACTCAAAGTAGGTTCCAAGTATACTTGCATTATACTAGAAGCTCTAGTGTGAAGCCAACAAATTTGCATACCTCGACCTCTAAAGTACAGAATGCGATTTCCAATTCATAGTTATTACAGTTACATGTACAAATTATCTGTCTATTTGTTTCTTGAAGAAAATTAAAGAATGTGACACTATCACTGGCGACCCACACAAATCCGGATTCTGCCCGTATCCGGCCGGGGCAATATGCTATCGCAAAAAGGAGCTGAACAACTTTGTCAACTTCACGAGCGAAACAGTTTATTATCATGGGAAAAATAACCTTGGGGATCTGGGCATTGAAGGTTCAAAGCCCGGTTCGGCTGCCTCGGCCGTGCATATGGCCAACAAGGTAATCGTTCCTTTGTTAATCTTGTTATGTTTTGAGAGAAAGGGGGAAGAAACGTCAGTTCTTTGAGAAGATACTGATAAAGACAAAAAATTGGAGATATCATATTCGGATGCAGTTGTTCAACACAGTATTATATCACGGCAATCGGTTTCCTGGGAGCACTACTCTCTTCTTTAAAGTTTCATTTCGCTACAAACGGTTTCTCCTGACCGATTAACCCACGACTGCTTCCCTGGTGGACATCTTATTAATTTTGAACCCGGCGCATGAGCTTTATAAGCTTAAATTTAAAACGAAGACAAACATGCCTCTTAAATACAGGTTGTAGTTAAAACCAGGAGAAGCATCAGGTGGAGATGTGCTTCGGAAATGTGGTTTTCAGGATGTTTTAAAATAACTTTTAAATTCCGATTTCTCTTCAGTAGATTAGGATTTATGTCAGCCATTTGCTGATTAAATTTGCCCGCTGATTAAGATATAACAAGCAAATGTCGGTATTCATTCTCCTCTTAGGTTATTGGTCTTCACAAGGATGGTTATGGCCGACTTTTAGCTGAATGTATGTTTACTGCAAAGGTCCTTTACTGCTACTTGGTTTGCATGGCAGAAGATGATGACGATTTCGTTGTTGAGATGACAAAGCCCCTACCTGCTGGTGTCACGAAAGACTACATAAGGAACAACATCATCGGAAAAACCAACGAGGAACTGGCGAATGTAAAGTGTTATAGTCATTTTCACCGTTACGCGGTCTTTGTAATCACAATTACTTGGAAATAGACAGGGTACCTTACAATGAAATTAGATGATGACTCGTAGAAGCAAAACAATTCCTAGTAACTCCCAGTTTGATTAAAGTTGATACCTCAGTTGTCTACAATTCATACTGCTCTTTATACTGCAGTTCATACTAGTTAGCGTTAAGTCTCCGGGCGTTGGATACAGCTTGGTTTAATTTGTACCTGATGGCAGTTACCAAATTGTCAAGTCGAAGGGGCATATTATGAAAAGGATTTTTTTCGTTTCGAATTTGGAGGGGTTATATTCAGTGTGTTACAAGGTGCCCTGCTATTTGAGGCCGGGTTACTTTCCTGAATTCTACCGACCTCATTTTACCGACCTCATACCTGTAGAACAAATATTAAAAAATTTTCGATCCTGTTTCAAGGTCCTAGAATATGGAATTCATTACCAAACGACATCAAAAATGCCCCGTCTTTTAGTATATTCAACTGTGTGATCAAACCATTTTTAAGGGTCAGACAGAATGCAACCTAAATACCTTAACACCTCATATCTATA